GGAGTAAGCCCTAAGCACCACCAGGTGGACCCCGCCCTCCCTCCCCCCCAAACAAAAGAGAAAAGTTAGAAGGTGAATTCCCTGGGCCTATGAGACTCTCTCTCTACACTTGGGGGGATGGAGGGGCTGGGCTCCCCGGCTGGCGCTTCTCAGGCCCCCTCAGCGTGCTGGGGATCAAAGGGATGTTGACTGTGTGCTTGGCAAGACCTGCAACCCCTGAACTATTTTCTGTGGCCCCAACTTTGAAGTATCTTGACAGTCAATACCATTCCTAATGATAAAGCATGTGGCTAATAAAAGCTGGACTTTGACCATGGGAAACAGCCAAGATGTTTCCCAGGAGACAAGAGTGAATCTCACTAAAACGACAGGGAAGCGGAGATAGATACTTTCCACAGGTCATGTGGCCTTTAGGAACCACAGCACTTAGAAACACCGAGTAAAGAAAACCTGTAGCTCACAACTAAGTTTCCTCTATGTTTTTCATCTATCTGCAGAAGGCATGAACATAGAGCCATATATTGAATTATGACTAAAAAATGGTGACTGGAAAGATGTCCAGGATTTAGTACTTGCCTTGCATGCAGCCAACCCCAGTAGGATTCTCAGCACTGTATATGTCCCCTAAGCACCGTCAGGAATTACAGGGGAGCACAGGAGCACAAATAAGTCCAGTGTGACTCAAGGTACCTCCCAAAAGAAAAACACCAGAAGCAACTATAATTCCTAGACATTTCCTTTCCATTATCACCAAGTATTTGCTAATAGCAGCCTCTAGGGAGTATTGGTACTGCCGTATAAGTACCGCGTGCTAACCGATTGCGCCACTGGAGCTCCGGCAAGCTCCCCGTGACGTATTCGATATGCCAAACACAGTAACAACAAAGTCTCCAGTGGAGACGTTACTGGACCCGCTCGAGCAAATCGACGAACAACGGGAGGGCCTTTACCTTACCTTTTACCTTTAGGGAGTATCAGTAGCTATTAGGCAACAAGTTCAAATTTTTATGACTTTTTAATAGCAGTTTAAAATTAGAGGATGAATGATAAAACTGGCTAATGGACTTGTAATTTTAGAAGTTAATAGCCATATTTATATGTTCAATAAAAATGTCAACAATTTCTAATTTTTATCTGTTTTACAAGCTATAAAATTGCGCTAAGGCTTCTGGTTAAAGTGATTGCAAACTGGGGCTGTCAGCTAAGAGATAACTCCTTGAAGCCGGCTGCACCCCAGGCTCTGTGTTACTACCCTCTACTGTACTCCACCTATAACCTTTGTCCTTTTTATGGAAAGCCAGTTTAAAATCAGAACTAGAGCACATGTAGGAGCCCAAGGGTCCCGACACCTCATGGTCCGCTGCCGGAAGTAATTCCCAAGCATTCCTGGTTTACCAGTAAGCCCTGTTCCATGGGGACCCAAAAGAAAACTAGTCTTTAGAATCTGTACTACTGCACCCAGTACCCATATAAATGGCCATTACAATGAATGTAATTACTAATATGCCATTGACTTCCCTGGCTTCTTAGCTGTCTTGATTTGCTCCTTACAGTAGCCATTTGTAGGCTATGACGAAATACAAAAAGACAAAAGACCTAAACCCAGAGGTCTGAAACAAATCAATAGGCAATCTGTTTTTCAAGGTATTTAATTTTCAGGACTAGGAGCGCCCGGTGGACAAGGTGCTGGCCTTGCACATAGCCAACCTGCTTTTTTTATCCCTGGCACCATATAGGGTCTCCACGGCCCTGCCAAGTGTGATCCCCAAGCACAGAGCCGAGAGTAAACCCTGAACATCATGGACTGTAGACCAGAAGCAAAAAAAACAAAACAATCCTCTTTGAGTTCAGAGCTATAATACGGTGGGTGGGGCACTTGCTTGCACACGGCAGCTTGGGTTCTGTTCCCCACCACTCCAGATGACCCCCTCAGCCCTGTCAAGTGATTCCTGAATGCAAAGTCAGGAGTAAGCCCTGAGCATCTCTGGATATGGTCTTAAAGATATGTTTTAAATTTTATTGATTTATCATTACAGTATGATGGATTGTCAAGGATTTAGCATCTAAATGTTATAAAGTAAAAGTTATTGAAGTTCCTATACTGTCCCACCTCTACTCATTCCTTCCACTAGCCCACTTTCCAATATTTTTTAGTGACCACTGTAGTTCTTCTGAGGATGGGAGTTAGTTTCGCTGATTTTCCCTCCATTTTGTTTGCTTTAGTTATTTCTATTCCATATATGAATGAGCAATTTTTAATGGTCTTTTCCCTTATTACACTTAACATAATTACTTCAAGGTCCATTTATTCTATCTCAAAGCTACAATTCATGTTTTTAAAATTTATAATTTTATTATAGACCTTGTAATATCGATGCAATAGTGTTAAAATTTATGATATTGATTCATGTATGGTATTGAGTTATTTTTAATAGTGTAGCATTTCTTTTACTCTTTACCACAACTTCTTTACCACAACTTCTTACCTTAAACATTTATGAATGTTTTAAGTTGATTCCATGTTTTGGATATTGTAAATAATATAAAATTCTTTAGAATTAGCATTTTCATATTCTGTGTATCAGTGTCAACAGACAGTTGTAAAATTGTCTTCTTATAATAAGGCTCAAGCTGAATTGCATGGTATGGAAATTTCTCCCTTGACACACCAGTAACTCCTCGTTTCTCATTGATATTTACACAGAAAACTAAGATGAATCATTGGTGAGAAGAACCTTTTATTGTGTGTTTTTAGGCCAAACTGGAGGTGCTCGGGTTTACTCTTGGCTCTGTGTTCAGGTTCACTCCTGGCGGGGTTTGAAGTACTGTATACAGTGCCAGGGATCAAACCCCAGTTGCCCTGAACAGGGCAGATACTTTATTCACTGTAGTATCACTCTACCCCAAAGAGGGATCACTGGAAACAAATACTTAGGAACTCCCATCTTTAGAGATTGAACAATTATGCATTATCACATAAGTTAAAAGTGTGTATCATAAGAAATCAGCATCTACATTTACCACATTAACATTAAACTTTGTCCTGTTCTGATATGTTTTTATTGTATTGTATTTCTGCCTACTACTAATTTATTTTAGTGGTTTTATAACTACAAATTTGTGTTGTAGAATTTTCTCTTTATTGTGGAAAAATCATTGGATTTTGATACTCTTGTTATGCTTCCTTCGTTTAAAAGTAATTGGAAGTTAATTTTTTCTTTGCCATGCTCTGTAACTGTGATTTTGAAGTGTTTTCTATAAATATGCTTTGTGATGCATATTTTAGTCTGGGTACACCATGTGGTCTGTGGTGAAACTTTGCCTTTGTACTGCAAAAATAACGGTAGATAATATGTAAACAAATGATGGCTGTTCTAATCTTACTTTATCTATAAAAGCAGGCAGTGGGCTGGACTTGGACTTGGACACAACAAAAGCATATGCAAGAGAATTTATTGTAGGAGAGTCATAGCAAATATTTGAAATAGTTTAAATCATTAATAATGAAGTGGCCAAAAATACTGTTGCATTCCTGTAGTCTGTATTTTGGATAGAACACAACAGCTACAAGAATAAAAACAAAGCTGTATGCATTAGTAGGAAATATGTTCCTGGCACTGCAGCGTCCCCAGAGTACTACAGGAGCAAATCCCACACTGGGTGTGTCCCCAAAGCAAAAATCAAAACTCTCTGTGATGCCAAAAACCCCGAGATATATTACTGATACTTTTGGGAACGTATTCTTTCTGTCTTTACACTTTTATTTAAAAGTGTATAATGTCTGGACTTTATTCTCACTTGTATTGAAATAAGCATTCTAAAAAGTTCTTTATGTTTCACCTTCAGTTTTAATTCACATATTTGATAGTTAAGAGATTTTTTTACATAAAAATATATACTTTTCCTGTGCTACTCATCATATTTTGTTTGGGGGCTTTAGCCAGCAGTACTCAGGGTTTACTCATAGCTCTGTGCTTAGGGATAATTACCGGTGGGGCTCAGGAAAACATCAGGGTGCCGGGGACCTAACACATGTTGGCCACGTGCGAGGCAGATACCTTCCGTGTTGTTGTATTTCTATGGCCTCATCATTTTTTCAAAATCTAACACCTTTAATATAAGTAGATGTTCATTTAGCTTTGCTTACTGATTTTTGATTGTCATACTATATATCAGTTCATGTAGATAATGATTTATTATTTAAACAATAATATGATAGAATGATCAAATGATCATAAATTATAATAAAATGATCAAACACCCATTCTCCCACCAGTGCACATTCCCCACCACCAGTCTCTTCAGTATACCCCCGCTTTCCCACCCCCCACCTGCCTCCATGGCAGACAATTTTCCCCCATACTCTCTCTCTACCAAATACCGAGAGGTTATCATATTTGGTCCTTTACTTTCAGCACACTTCTCCCATCCTGATTGATCCCTCCAACCATCATTTTCTTAGAGATTCCTTCTCTATTCCAGCGGCCTTTACCCCACCCCATGAGGCAGGCTTCCAACCGTGGAACAATCTTCCTGGCCTTTGTGTCTACTGTCCTTGGGTGTCAGTCTCATGTTATGATACATACTCCACAAATGAGTGCTGTCCTTCAATGTCTGTCCCTCTCTTTCTGACTCATTTCACTTAGCATGAGACTCTCCATCTCTATCCACTTATAAAATTGCTTTCAGATTTATTTAAATATGTTGCTAAGGCATGAGAATCTTTATTTCTAATCAGTTTTTCATATGATTAGGGGGTGCACTCTAAACTTGCCCCTTTAAGAAATGGTGAGAGTGGTTGTTATGAATGATTGTTATTGGTGAAGATTTGAATAAGGTGAAAAAATGTAATGTACTTGTGCAAGAATGTATAAGAAAGAAAAGTGTGTGGAAGAATGATCACAGCATAGTGAACTTGTGTTTCATTTTGTTGCCTTTTAAGATTGCTTTCATTGCTGATAAACTCTATATTGACTGGTTGATGTATACATCTCTGGCAGATTGGAAACTAGGATTATATTTCAGCAAAGTCAAATTTCTGAAGATGGAGCTCAGAGGAATGTGGACCAGCTTGATGAAGTTGGTACTGGTAAATATACTACGTTTGTCTAATTTTTGGGAGATTATTAGACTGGCTTATTGTATTTGGACAAAATGTAAGTTGCATTCCTTATTTTTTCAGCCATTTAAAAATCAAAGCCATTGAGCACTGTACTCTGCATTAATAATCCTAGCTTGTTTGACAACATACACACAACTTTTTTTTCTGTCGTTTATCACATGTTCAAAATGAAATGAATTGTTTGCCAAAAAGTCAGTTTACGAACAACATTGTTGTATTATTTTATTCATATTTTCTTTTGGAGGATGGGGTGCGGGGGGGCAGGGGCACATACCTGGCAGTGTGCAGGGCTTACTCCTGGCTCTGCATTCAGGGGTCACTCCTGGCAGGGATCAGGGCAAGAACCCTACCCAGTACACTATTGCTCTGACCAATAGTTGTTGTCTTATTTACTAAGTAATAGTAATAATTAAAATATAAAGACAGTAATTTGGAGGGCAGGCTAGTTTGGGTCACACCCAGTAGTGCTCAGGAGTTACCCCGGCCTTATTCAGAGGACCAAGTATGGTGCCGGTGATTTGAACTGGTTTCAGCAGGGTGCAAGCAAATACCTTAACTCCTGTGTTATCTTTCATGTCCAACAGCTATAATTTTTTTCATCTAATATTGGAGCAAAGATAAAGTAGAAATGAAAATATACTTTTCTTCAAATTTTTATGCATTTGTGTATATATTTTGTGTATATATTTGTGTATATATTTTAGAATATCCAGTATAATGCAGGTATATTACTAATGAAATAGACTTTCTGAAAATAAAACATTATATTGAGGATTATTTATATGGTAACATATATAGATATTTTTCTGCTAGACATGTTTTTTTTCTAGAACTTATATTAAGTATTGTGGTTTTTCACTGTCAGTGCTTTATGTAAATACTGCGTATAGATTTTTTCACATACTTTTTTTTTTATACCACAGAATCTCAAGTAGATGATTCTCAGCACTCTAAATGTGATGCAGATAAGTCTGTGAAACCAGAACCATTTTTCCAGAAGGTGGTTCATCCTGAACACTTGAACTTAGCCTCTCAAATTCAATCAATTCTCTGTTCTCCGGAAGAATCCCTTCCACTTCGATCTCGCTCTGATTCACCACCAAAAACTAAAAGTAAGAATTCCTTGCTGATTGGACTTTCAACTGGTCTATTTGATGCAAACAATCCAAAGGCAAGTATGTTCCTCAAGTAGAAATTTTTATCCATTTGATAAAATTTTTTATTGATTTTCTTCGATAAATCATAATATTGAGTGCTAATGCCTTGAAAACTCAGACATATGCACACATCAAAACAAAAATAACAAAAACCATCATCTGTTATGAGATACTGAAAATTACTGTTCAGATACTGTACAAAAATTATGCCATCGGCTTCTTGGTCAAGATTATTTTTATAGAATTTACTTTGAAGCAAAAGATTCTCCATGCACTCTTACACTCTCTTTCTCATCACCCTATCCAACTTCCACTTTTAATAAGAAATTAAGCTCAAGCAATGTGTCTTAAAATGGTGAGAGTACCATATTACCTAATTTGTATATGTAATGATTAATATATATTTATATGCACTTCCTGACAAAAGTTTCCCAGCCTCCTATTATCTCAGTTGATGCATTTATTACAGTCTTTCAACCCTAATCCCACCATCATTATTACCTTTTCTCCACCATTGTCTGGTTTTTCCCAACCACCCCTCAAGCCTGCCCTCATGGGGGCCCCAAATAATTTATCTTATATTGCTTGTTACTACTAAATGGCTAGTAGAGTGGTCAAAAAATACTTCAGTAAGAAAATTTGTGAAAATTATAACATCTCGCCCTGGGGACATTAAGTCCTTGTCTGAGGGTATACTAAGTTGTTGTTGCTAGTTGAGCTTATTATGTAAAAGGTTTTTGGTAAGTGAGATTAGTTGGTCCCTATGTTACATTATCATCCCATGTGGTGTGCACTGGAATGCTAGTATTACGGAGTTTGGAGATGTCCTATGGCAGCGAATATGACTGCACACTCCAGGAAAATCCAAAATATTTAACTGGGCCACAAGCTTACATGGTGCAGTGGTAGATGTGGGTTTAGCTGCTGGGGCTTTGAGAAGTATGAGGTGTGAGGGGGTAGTCACCTAGAGTTTTCAGACAAAAAAAACCCCTGTGTACCTGAAATTTTCAGCAGTTTGACATCTCTGGAGCTCAGTTGTGAGGAGGTAGAGTCCAGCCACTGGCATGGCGGCAGCTGTTGGGGTGTGAGTGCGGCTACCAGGGCTCGCCTCCTCCAAGATTGCCCCAGAAGTCTCAGTTGGGGACCAGGGTGTCTGAGAAATTTTGGGGGCCAGTTGATCACTTTTGAGATTTAATCACACATCTCTGGAGCAGGGCTGGTTATGTGAGCTTGCATTGTGGTAGTGGTGGAATCAGTTGATGTCTTTAAAATTATGTAGACAGTTTTTTGTTTGAAAATTTAGAGACTGAGAATAATGAATCAACAGTGGAACTTATGCCAGCTAGATGAAGTCCTGTGTTTTATCCCTCATGCTGCAAAAATAATCATTATCACAATAATAGCTTAAAAGAGCTCTAGAAAATTTAAATATAAAAAAATAGAAATGGATAATACTGCTGTGAACATAGAAGAGCCCCTAATCTTTCAAGTTTGTGTTTCAGTGATACCTCCTTAGGAGTGATATTCATATGGAATATGTAATTCTTATGTGGAATAATCATATGGTATTTCCATCTTTAGTTTTTTGGATTTTTTTTTTAAAGAATTCTTTATACCATTTTTTACTGGGGCTGTGCCAATGTGAATTTCCATGACAGTGTATAAGAGTTCTTTCTTCTCCATATTGTTGCCATTATCTGTTATCTCAAAATCTTTTTGGTACAAGCTGTTTTCACAGGTGAGGTGATAGCCCACAGGGTTTTGGGGGGTTTTTTGGGGGGGGTATTTTTTTTCTTTGGTTTGGGGGACAGGAGCCAGGGTTCACTTTGCTAATGTAATGATATTGACTGTTTATTTACATGCCTGCTGAGTTGTCTGTATGTTTTCCTTAGAATATCTCTTGAATTTTCAGTCCCTGATAGGACATAGGATGTACAATTCTTCTTTTCTCAATTGGTAGGTTGCCTTTCTTATTTTGTGGTAGTTTCTTTTATAGGGTAAAAATGTAGTTTGTTATCCCCCCCCCCCGTTTTTTTTGAGATAACATGGTTTTACAGTAGTTTCTTTACCACTTATTTTTGCTTTTGTTTTTCTTTTCTGTTGGAGTTGAGTCTTCAACTGAGTTTGATCTTGAAATCAAAGTTCAGTGATATGTAAGTTCTCTTCTAGATATATTATAGCCTGGAGTTTTACATCAACTTTTTTGTTTTGGTTTGATTTGTTTTGGTTTTGCTCAGAATTGCTCAGGTTTCTCATGACTTTGCACATAGGAATTAGACCTGGCAGTGCCTGGGGGATCATGTGGGATGCTGGGGATGGAATCCAGGTCAGCTACATGCAAAGCAATCACCCTACCTGCTGTACTGTCTCTCCAGTCCCCTTAAATCAACTTGTTGATCCATTTTGAGTTAATTTTTTTGGTATGGTGCTAAATAACAGTTGAATTTCTTGGTAGGTGACTTCATAGTTTTCTCAGTACCATTTGTTGAAGAGGCTTTCCTTTCTCCATTCTGTAGAATTGGTGGCCTTTTCATAAATTAAATGTCACTTAATATGCGTACATTTATTTTTGGACTCTCCTCTTCCTTTGATCTGAACATCTGATTTTGTTTCACCACCCTAATGTTATGATTGTTATTGATTCATGATGTAGTTTAAAATCAAGGGAGCATGATGCTTCATTTTTAAGTTTCAGATTTGCCTTGGCTCTTCATGGTTGTAGGCATTTCCAGACAAATTTGTTGTTTTATTTCCTTGAAGAATGCTGCTATGATTTTGATAGGAGGAGGTTCATTGAATGTGCACAGTAATAAAAGCATTTTGACAGTTAATTTCCTGCCTGTGGACACAGGATATCAGGATATTCTTTTTTTTCTTTCCCTTTTTAGGTCGTACCCAATGATCAAAGGGGGTACTCTTGGCTCTGCACTCAGGAATTACTCCTGGTGGTGCTTGGGGTACCATATGAGATGCCGGGGATCAAACCTGGGTCGGCCACGTGCAAGGCAAATGCCCTACCCGCTGTGCTATCGCTCCGTCCCCTATTCATCCATTTTTTTTGGTGCCTTTTCCTATTTCTTTTAACAGTGCTTTGTAGTTTTAGGGTAGAGGACTTCGAGCTGCCTTTTCCAGAGTACTCCATTATACTTTATCTTTCTGTATAGATGTCTTTAACTCAGAACACGTTAATAAGTTGTTACTGTCTATAAAATTAATATTCTTTGCATATTCATTTGACTTTTCTTTTTGTGACCTAAATTTAGCCTTAGTAGTTTGAAAGGATTATTTACTCTAGAAGTAATAAGAACAGCAATAGAGATTGCATGTAGAAGACTGAGAGAGAAAGGCAAAATGAAACACTAGAAAATCAAATCAGTTTTGTAGGTGTTTATCACAACAGACAAAAGGATATATCTGCTATCCTGAGATCAGGGAATTTATCACCTGACAAAATAGTAAACAATCAGTGTTCCAAAGTAGTAGCTTTGACTCATTAATATAAAATTATTTCTAAGCATATATAATTGTATTACCAAAAAGATTTTTGTTGAATTTTTTTTAATTACATTACTTGTATCCTTTTTTCCATTACAAAAGTCCTTCTTGTAAGTGGGATCCTAACTTCTCTCTCTCTCTCAAGGAATTCACTCAAGCCCTGTTTCATCAGCTTCTGTAGTGGATCATTTTGTCAACCTCTTCTGTTCTAGCAAGTCCCTTCTCTTGAGCACATACCCTTTCTAGCTGTGATCATATCTCTCTTCCTTTCATAACCAAACCTTCTATACATTTGCAGTCTCTACTTCAGTTTCTTTCCCAATATATTTCAGTGTGCCTTTTTACCCAGTTTATTGCTTTTTTTGGGGGGGTCAAAATCAGCAGTTAAGGAGAGAGAGAGACAGTACAAGAGTTAAGGCACTTGGTTTGATTACAGATAATCTTGGTTTGGTCCCTGGCACAGCTTATAACCCCCAAATCCCTCCAGGAGTAAGCACAGCTGGTGCGGCCCCAATGCCCCCTCCCCCAGTTCAAAATCAGCAATTATTGGTACATAACTATTTCCTCTATCATTTTTACTCAGATTTCACTTAATGTGCATGCATTTATATTCAACAGTTCTTATTCCTCTTTTTAAATCATTATATTTATTGGCTCCCTTTATCACACCTTGATAAAAAAAGGTATGTTTTATCATAGATTTCCTATTTTTCCCTTGAATTTATTAGTCACACTCAGTTTCCTTTGCTGGCAGTTCCTACTGCTAACAGATCTTCTTAAATATGTATTTTTCTTGTACTGGGTGAAGTGTTCTGTAAATGTCAGGAATTAAATCAAGTTGGTTAATCATATTATTTAAGCCTTCTTATTTTTACACTTTAACTCAACTTACTGAATTTTTAGCTATGTTCATTTATCCTTGCAGTTGTATTTGTTCTGTGTATTTTGAAGATGTTACTTTTTAATGACTGAAAAATTAATTTTATGTTTTATGGATGAATTGGTATATTCATTGTTAAGAAATATCTCTTTGTTAATATTGTTAACAAATATCTCTCTTTGTTAATGATTTTGTGCAAGGCAAGCATCCTACCCACTCTATTATTTCTCTGACCCAAGCCTCACTGATTTTCTATTTGTTTTATCAATTACTGAGAAATAAGTATTTAAATTTCCTTTTAATTGAATTGTAGATGAATTGTCTTTATGTTTCCTTGATGAATTGACTTTTCTATTATGATAAAAATAATTTTACCGGGGGCTGGAGCAACAGCACAGCAAGTAGGGCTGCATACGGCCAACCCAGGTTCAATTCCCAGCATCCCATTTGGTCCCCTGAGCACCGCCAGGAGTGATTCCTGAGTGCAAAGCCAGGAGTAATCCCTGTGCATCTTCAGGTGTGACCCAAAAAGAAAAAAAATAATAATCATCTTACCCGTGGTCGTATCACTTTGTTTTAAAATCCAGTTTGATATCAGTGTGGTCATTTCAGAGTTCTTAGGCTTAGTGTTTATATGGCGTGTATTTTTTACATCTTTTACTTTTAATTGAACTTCTGTAGTTTTACTATCCATCTTATTTTTAACCAGTCTTAACAATCTCGTCTAATTACAGCTCTTAGATTATTTATTTGTAATATAATTTTTGATGTATCACTAATATGACCAGGTTTAATCCTATTGTTTTGCTCTTTATTTTCTCTTTGTCTTATCATCTGTTCTTTTCTTTTTAGCTTCCCTTGGAGTATTTTAGCACTTCATTGTTATCATTTGCTTAAAAATAAAATATATTCTTTAGTGATGATCTCAATTTTCAAGAAAGATCTTTTGCTATCTTTTCTATGATGTTACCATATTTCACGTATGGCGTAAGAATCATGTAACAGTAGATTTCCATTTATAGTCTAATGTGCATGCTCTTTGTGAGACTGGTGTTATATATTTTACTTCCACATATATCTTGGGCTACCAAGAATTCCCAGACCTTCCAAGAATGTACATGCTTCTGCCCCCTCCAAAAGGATATTGAAATTAATCTAATTGCAAATGAAATAAGACCCTTAGTGGCAGTTGTCTATGGACAATTAATTTCAGGGAAATTTCTCTCTGTGAATATTAAAACTGCAGAATATTTAAATAACATGAAAAGCTTCATTTGTGAGAAATATAGAACTAAAAGTATTCTCATAAAATTTTCTGACTGAATTGAATATTCTATTTAAATTTTTACCAGCCCACTTGAAGACTATAAGAATAAAGGGTTTTAAGCCTAGCCATAGGTTTGATGAGTGCGTGGACCCATCCCGGAAAGGTGTCAGGTTACATACTATTTGGAGTTAATTTTCAACTCTATTAATATATATTGAATTGTGAGGCTTATTTATTCATAAAACAAATAAGCTCAAATTGTGATTATGTCTCTGTGATTAAAGTTTTTCACACCTACAAATTATTGCATACTTCTGTGTAGTCCCTCTGAATTTACATATATAATTCACATGTGCCATTTATTTTTATTGGTTGCATGCATCTGGAGAAAGAGTTACAGGGTATATATTTTGCTCACCATTGTTCTATAATATACATGGTGGAAATCATTAAATACTAGACATCAAGCATAAAGTCTGCCAACAGTGGGAGATTCAGCAAGGAAAATACTTTCAGTATTATTATTAAGTGCTTTAACAGCAGTGTATCTTTGCCATAATCTTGTAGTTTATAACAACGTTTTTCCTCTTGAGTGCTATAACATGTAAATTATCCTCAAATAATGGGAACCTGTCATTTTTAATTCTCAAAAACAGATTGTAGCAATAAAATTGGCCAAGTACACAAATTTTCATTAATGTGCTAAACATTGTGTTTTCTTCACATTCTCCCATCTGGTGTCGAGTTTTTATCATGGCCTTAGGAATCACATTTCAAATATTACATTTTCCTTTTAGATTACTCTACCTTAAGACTTAATGTATTTGTTTGGTTTGGTTGATCACCCTGTTTATCCCTGGCATTCTAAATTGTTGAGATGGTGGACAGAGGTTATTTCTAATTCCCCTGCCTCGTCTTTCAAATGTCAGTAGCACTGTAGCACCGTCCTCCCATTCTTCATCGATTTGCTCGAGAGTACCTAGTAACGTCTCCATTGTGAGACTTGTTGTTACTGTGTTTCGCATATCAAATATGTCATGGGGAGTTTGCCAGGCTTTGCCATGCGGGTGAGATACTCTCGGTAGTTTGCCAGGCTCTCTGAGAGGGGTGGAGGAATCGAACCCAGGTCGGCCCGGTCAGCAGCATGTAAGGCAGACATCCTACCCGCTGTGCTATGTCAGTTCACATTCAAATTTTAAACACCTCAACTGTGCATTGTTCTTTCTTCAACATAGTTTGTGGAAAACCTATTGCTATAAATGATTCTCAGTATGAACATCGAAATACCTATCCTTCCAGTTTTCTGTTCTAGCTGGAAAGTCTCTACTCTCCCATCAACCATCACTCATGGAAATGATGTTAGATTTTTGTCGTTGCACTAATTTGAGATCCCTGATTGAACCAGTGTCAGTAAGCCAGCAACTGCTAGCAGGTCCACCAAGTATGTCTAATAGTGATTAGGTTTCAAAGTAACTTAACATAGAATTTCAGAAAATACACAGAGAAGATCAGCTATAGGAATTCACCAATTCACCAATGGGGAAATGTTTCTGTAGCAAAATGAGAAAGAAGATTTAGCAAAAATAACACGAAGGATGGACAAAAGTGCCCCATGAGTGAGTAAAAGTGAATTCTCATTTTCAAGTACTGCCTGATACCCCAGCTAAATTGAAACCCAGTTGAAATTTAAGTATGTTAGAACAGGTTATCCCCTAACCTCTAAATATGTGATGTAGGTGAAAATTAGAATTAGATATCATTTTTTATTTTACTTTCTTTTATTTTCTGATTTTTTTATTCCTAATAAGAATTCTGTTTGGTTTCTTTTTAAGATGTTGAGGACATGTTCACTTCCAGATCTCTCCAAGCTGTTTCGAACACTGATGGACGTTCCTATTGTAGGAGATATGCGCCAGGACAATCTTGAGATAGATGAAATCGAAGATGAGCACATTAAAGAAGGGCCCTCTGACTCCGAAGACATGTGAGCATGATAGCATTAATGGATACTAACACTAACTGAGCTTCTGAATTTAGGTTTCAGAGATGGTGACTTTCCTGGACAATTTTTAAATGATCTGCATCTAGTTTTTTCCTACTCTTTCAGCTTCTCAAAGTAGATCCAGAATACATGTCATGCAAATTTTGATCTCTTATAGAACAGTCTCGTTTGAAGAATATAAGAAAAATTATTACTATGTGTGTTCTCTATCTTCTCTTCCCCACTGAGCTTTCAGTACACTGATTTGTACACAGTCGCTGCTTAGTAAATGCAGATTAAATGAGTGATTGCTAAAAGTACAAATATTGCATCGGAAATTGTGAAGGCCTTACTACTTTACGGTTTCTCAGGAAAAACTACTGGAGAGCTTTCTATGTATCTCCTTCATGTATTATTTCTAAACCATGGCATTGAGCGGCAGACTGATTGTTTTATTTCTGCACGTGCAGATCTGTGTTCTATATATATATAACTTAAGATTGTTTTCCCAAAATTACTGTTTTTAGGATTCTTGAGGAATTTAGAATTCAGAAAGGAAATTTGATCTTTAACATTTTTGAGAGCCGGAAAAAGTGATGGCTCTAGATAGAAAAAGTGGAAAAAAAGGTGAAATTTTAGAAGTTTAGAAGTTTTAGAAGTTTTAGAAATTTTAGAAGTTTAGTTTCCCCTTACCTTCTCTGATCCGTTAGCCTTCTTAGTCCCGCAGACATATATTGCAAAGAGCTTTTTGAAATATAAAACTCTAAGCACCTAGAATCCTATGTTTCCGATGGTACAATGTATTAAAATTACCTGGAGGATGTTACAAAATATTAGGATATTAAACGGGTTATAATTTTACTTGTATTTTTTTTCCTTCTTTTTTTTGTAGGAGTACTGCTATTTATTCAGCCACTGATTAGCTGATTGAATTGTGCATGAACTCCACCTTACTTTTTTTTTTCTTTTTCCATTTTTTATAATTTTATTTATTGAATCACCATGAGAGCAGTTACAAAGCTTTTGGGTCTAAGTCTCAGTCATACAATGAAATACGCGTACCTTCATCAGTGCCCATTCTCCACCACCAAAACTCCCAGTATACCCCCATCCCACACCCTCCCCCTGCCTGTGGAGCAGATGATTTCTACATTACTCTCTCTCTACTTTGATCACATTCACTATTTCGACACCAGACCCACCACTATTTAAGATTTTACCCCAACACTCAGATCTGCTGAAAAGGCAACAATAGACAATTTGTGTTCTATTGCTGGTTATGAATAACATATGATGTCGTGTGACTGCAGTAGGGCCATGTGGTTTTGAAGTTCTGAAATTTTAACACTTAAATCTGGAGGGATTTCTGCCAAAGGCCACTGGGTTTAGAGATCTGCTCCTGAGTCTCTGGGATCATGGCCGTTGAGCAGCTTGATGAGGAGCCAAAGAGGCCATTCGTGGGCGATGACTTGGGGTCTCATTGGGGTGGGGAAGACAGGCCCGGCTCCACCTCCCCCCCCATCCCGAGAGACCCAACAAGTTTCGTCACTGCGGGCCCAAGCCTGCCTGTCCAATGGCCTCTGGAGGTTGACAGCCACCAAGTCGCCAAGAGGGAGCAGGCAGAGGGACAGCACCCATTCCCCCCTGGGGTGGCCCGGTGACAGTAACCTACTGCAGGGTCCGGACACATTTCTGACAAAAGCCGCTGGGTTTCGAGATCTGTTTCTGAGTCTCTGGGATCAAGGCCGTTGAGCAGCTTGATGAGGAGCCAGAGAGGCCGTTTGTGGGCGATGACTTGGGGTCTCGTTAGGGTGGGGAGGACAGGCCTGGCTCCACCTCCCCCCCGCATCCTGTGAGACCCAACAAGTTTTGTCACTGCGGGCCCAAGCCTGACTGTCCAATGGCCTCTGGAGGATGACAGCCACCAAGTCGCCAAGAGGGAGCAGGTGGAGGGACAGCACCCATTCCCCCCTGGGGTGGCCCGGCGACAGTAACCTACTGCAGGGTCCAGACACATTTCTGACAAAAGCCGCTGGGTTTCGAGATTTGTTTCTGAGTCTCTGGGATCAAGGCCGTTGAGCAGCTTGATGAGGAGCCAGAGAGGCCGTTTGTGAGCGATGACTTGGGGTCTCGTTAGGGTGGGGAGGACAGGCCCGGCTCCACCTCCCCCCCCATCCCGTGAGACCCAACAAGTTTCGTCACTGCGGGCCCAAGCCTGACTGTCCAATGGCCTCTGGAGGATGACAGCCACCAAGTCGCCAAGAGGGAGCAGGCGGAGGGACAACACCCTTTCCTCCCTGGGGTGGCCCGGCGACAGTAACGTACTGTGGAGTCCGGATGTATTTCTGCCAAAAGCCACTAGGTTTTGAGATTTGTTTCTGAGTCTCTGGGATCATGGCCATTAAGCAGCTTGATCAGGAGTCAGAGAGGCCATTCGTGGGCGATGACTTGGGGTCTCGTTGGGGTGGGGAGGACAAGCCTGGCTCCACCGTCATCCCGTGAGGCCCTGTGTGTCTCGTCACTGGGGGCCCAAATGTGACTATCCAGTGGCCTCAGACGGATGGCGGCCACTGGGCCGCCAGGGGAAGTAGGCCAAGGCATGAAACCTATTCCCACCTGGGTTGGCCCAGCACCGGTAGCCTACTGCAGAGACCAGACGCATTTCTACCTAAAGCCACTGGGTTCTAAGATTCGTTTCTGAGTCTCTGGGATCATGTCCATTAAGCAGTTCAATCAGGAACCAAAGAGGCCTTGCCTCCAATTATATAGCTGAGCCGGAGGTGGTTTGTGGGTGTGTTTCCCACATACCTAACTTTTGGCCGTTTACTTTCTTGGTAAACTTTGCCCCAAGTTTTTGGGGTCTGGCCAAAGGCACAGCAGCAATTTTGGGGTATCTGGAAGTCTGAAGGCGCCATGAGGCTGCTGATGCACTCGCCTCACAGGTACAGATTGACCTGCTGGCGGCACCATACCCCCTATAATTTTACTTTTAAATTCTGGCTTTTACCTTTTAATAGAAAGGAATCATGTTTGGATATGATTGAAAGTATTTTGACCATCTTATGTGATTTTTCCACTGGTATTTCTTAAGTCAGGGCTCTGCCTCTGATATTTTTGTGTTAGTCTAGTTTTGTTTTAAGTCTTGTCCCTTTTCTTAAGTTTCTAACAAAATTCATAAAGTCTTTTACTTTTTAAAGAAAAGTACTTTTGTTTGTATTTTGGACCATACCTAGCAGTGCTCAGGGATTACTCCTGGCTCTTCACTCAGGGATCACTTCTGACAGTGCTCAGGGACCATATAGGGTGCCGGGGACCGAACCCAGTCAGAGATTACTCCTGACAGTGCTCAGGAACCATATAAGTGTCTGGAATTGAACCCAACTCAGCATTGGACAAGGCAGGCGCCCTGCAAGCTGTACTCTCACCCCATCCCCAAAGTCAGAAATACTTTTTTTTTTTGCTTTTTGTTTTTTGGGTCACACCTGGTGATGCTCAAGGGTTACTCCGGGCTCTGTACTCAGGAATTACTCCTGGCTGTGCTCGGGGGACCATATGGGATGCCAGGGATCGAACCTGGGTCGGCCGTGTGCAAAGCAAACACCCTACCTGCTGTGCTATCGCTCTGGCCCAGAAATACTTTTAGTGATTAAGGTCACCTTTTTTTCCACTTTTTTCTTCAAATTCTGTAGATTTTTTTCTAATGCATTAGAATTTGGAGAGAATTGTCTTTTTTTTCTTTCCCTTGTTTGGCCATGTCATTAATTTTGTGCTTTCATTTTTTTTTTTCCATCAGCATCCACTTTATTTATTTATTTTTTTTTTGGTGATTTTTTTTTATTTTTTTTTAAATTTATTTATTTATTTATTGAATCACCATGGGAAAGGTTACAAAGCTTTCAGGTTTAGGTCTCAGTCATGCAAATATCAAGCACATTTCCCTTTACCAAAACTTATTTTTTACCATGAAGAACCCCAATAAAACCCCACCCCCCACCCCTCCCAGTCCCTGTGGGGCAGATGAATTCTAGTTAACACTCTATGTGCTTTGATTAGATTCATTGTTTCAATAAAAGATTCACCACTATTATTTAGAGTTTACCCCCCCCCCCCCCCGAATCAGACATGCTGACAAAGCATTGTGAAGTGATTTGCTTTCTACAGCTGGATTCAAGAATTATTTGTTGGTTTTGGATTTCTGCTATTTTACTTATTGACCCTGGAAGTATTTCTACTGAAAGTCAGATAGTTAAGAAATTGGTTTCTGTGCTCTGGAGTCGTGGCCGTGCTGGAGAGCCGCTCGTGGGGGGCAACTGGTGGCCTCAGTAGGGCGTGAAGGGCGGACCGAAACGCCCCCCTTCCCATGAGGTTTTAGTCGCCCCCAGTCCCCCGGCTCATACCTGCTGTCCACAAGGCTCCCATGCGGCCGCCATCTTTCTTTCCAGAGAGGAGAAGGCGACTGGGGCAACACCCTTTCCCCTCCGGACAGACCTGATGGCCTGGATTAACGCATAGTGTGCTTTCATTTTTAAAAACGTTCCCATACTCTTACAGAGAGCATCTCACCACAAAGTGCAAGGTGACAGTTGGATCCCCTAAGTCTGTGTAAAATTGTCTAATTTACTGAGTGAGATACAGCTTATTTGTACCTTATAATCTTGTCATTATTTTTGATGGCAGAATTTTAATTTAAAATTTAAATTAGAATTTAATAATAAAAAATGTAAACAGGTTTTCTAAGCAATTTATTCCATATCTATATAGGATAATTTTCACTTGGAGAAAATATTGTTGGTTTAGACTTTGTTCAGAGTTGTACAGTAAAAGCACCTACTCAAACATTCAGGATCAGATAAACTCAACTGAGTTGTTTGGGTGCCCTTTTGGTAAAAGACGTTAATCTCCTCCTCTGCTAGCAGTGGCAGGCTAGCAGCCCTGAGCACTTTTCATTCTGTGGAAGGATTTAAGTCAGTCCTCTTGCCTGGCTACTGCAGTTTATCTTGAGGTCACTGTTTAGTCAGTGAAGTACTGGTGCTTAGCATATGGACTTGGTGTATTATCTTATAGTTAAATATTAAGTTAAATGCTACCACAGGGTAATCTGAAAGGTTAGACATAATAATTATTATTATGCTTTCCTTTAGTTGCTAGAAAACTCTTGGGGGGTGGGGGTGGGTTTGGGCCATACTTAGCTTAGGTACTTAGGTCTTTTTCCCGTCTCTGCTCAAGAATCACCATTGGTTAGTGAGCTACCAGGAGCAGCAGCAGAGCAGGGTGGGGTCGGCATGGGGGGACTCTGGTGATTGTCGTCTGGCTCTCAGCTGTTGACTAATTGTGGAGAAAGGGAGACCAGAGGATGGCTGAAAGCAGAGCTATTTGTGGAGGTTTCAGTGGGGATGGCAGAGGGGGTCTCCTGGTAATTGAGCCCTGGGAGTCAGAAGAGTCGGGGCCAGGGCCTGGAACTGTAGGGAAGTGTGTCTTTGGGGCCACATCTGGCCACCAGTGTGAGATAGAAAACAATACCCACCCTCTCCCCACTGGCTCTCACACTCTAGCTGTGCTGTCGGCTGGCATCTTTCTTTGTTTTGTTTAGGTTTGGGGGACTTTTATAGGGGAGCAGGACTGGCTGCACCTAGCAGGGCACAGGGCTTACCCCTGACTCTCTGCTCAGGGATCACTCCTGATGGGTCTGTCCAGGGAGCATATAGGGTGCCGGGAATTGAACCTGGGCCGATTGCCATGCAAGGGAAGTAGCTGACTTGCTGAACGATGGCCCTAGGTCCCCAGTGTATCATTTTAAAGGAAAATTTTTATCTGAAGGCAAAAGTCTGCGCTGAAGATTTTTAGGATTAGTATGTTTTTTAATTATGCAGTTGTCTTTGCATTTTAAAATTTTTCTAAAAATAAGCATTTAAACAATGTGGTGACTCGTCTCATTAGCCATCCTATTAGCTTGAACATTTAAGTTTCTAAATTTTTTACTTCTAAAATTTCAAGTGCCTGGTGTTTATATCAAAAAATCAAAAATCTTTCATATTCTATTAAACTTCTACACCAAGATTTTGCTGAAATTTCAAAAATGCAGGAAAGAAAAACATTTTTCTATTTGTTTTGGAAAGCAAATGAGAAAAACTTTTTAGTCAGGCTTCTTAAAATATTCATAGTCTTTTAAAAATTGTAAATCTACAACTGTACCTCATGGTGTTTCACTAATAAAAAGGAAAAAAAATATTCATAGTCTTTCAAAATTTAAGCAACAAATATTGGTAGTTATTTGCTCTTCTCTGATAAATCAGGATCATTTTAAACAAGTCATGCTACTTATTACAGAAAACGTCATGTACTATATTATACTTTTTTTAAATTTCATTATATATATATATTTTTTATTAGTGAAACACCATGAGGTACAGTTGTAGACTTACAAATTTTTGTGCTTGGGTTTCAGTTATACAATGATCGAATACCCATCCCTCCACCAGTGCCCATTCTCCACCACCCAGTATCCCTCCCACCCCCACCCCCCATCCCACCCTAGCACTGTGGCAGGGCATTTCCCTCCATTATCTCTCTCCTTTTGAGTACTGTGGTTTGCAAAAGAGACATTGAGTGGCAATCTTGTTCAGACTATAGTCTACTCTCATCACGCATTTCCCATCCGAGAGGAACCTCCCAACACCCTTTATTTGGTGCTCCCTTCTCTATCTGAGCTGCCTTTTCCCCTAGTGTGTGCGGCTGTCCTCAAAGCCATGGAGTAATCCTCCTGGTATTTATCTCAGCTATTTTTGGATGTTAGTCTCCTGTTTTGTTACTTTATGTTCCCCAGATGAATGCAATCTTTCTATGTCTATCCTCCTCTTTCTGACTCATTTCACTTATCATGATACTTTCCATGTAGTACTACTTGTATGTAAATTTCATGACTTCATCCTTTCTGACAGCTACATAGTATTCCATTGTGTAGATATACCAAAGCTTCTTTAACCAGTCATCTGTTCTTGGGCACTAAGGTTTTTCCAGATTCTAGCTATTGTAAACAGTGCTGCAATGAACAGACAACTGCAGATGTCGCTTTGACTATACTTTTTTGCCTCTCTGGGGTATATTCCCAGGAGTGGAATTGCTGGGTCAAATGGGAGCTCAATTTCTAGCTTTTTGAGAATCGTCCATACTGTTTTCCAGAAGGGCTGTATATTATACTTGTTATTTATCTTCATTTCCTTTGTTCAGAAACTGTGTTGATTTTCTTCAGATTGCTTTTGTATCCACTGCTTGTACTTTTAAGTAGAAAAGAGAGCATACATGTAAATTGACAATTTAGAATAAACTCCCGTTGATCGTCGATTTGCTCGAGTGGGCCCAGTAACGTCTCCATTGGAGACTTTGTTGTTACTGTGTCTGGCATATCCAATACTCTCGGTAGCTTGCCGGGCTCTCCTAAAGGCTTCTATTTCTGTTCTGGGTTTTTGTTTGTTGTTGTTGTTTTTTTTTTTTGGATTGTTGTTTGTTTTGGGTTTGGAGCCACACTCAGTGGTGCTGAAGGCTTACTGCTGGCTCTGTGCTCAGGGATCATTCCTAGTGGGTCCAGGGGCACTAGGATATGCTGTGCAGGGATCAAACTGAGTGGGCACGTGCAAGGCAAGTGTCCTGTGTGCCGTTATGTTTCTCCATTCCATGATAAAAGTTTTGGTAAGGTTCAATTTTTCAAATTTCAGTGTGTTTGAAGAAGCTGATACAGATTTGCAAGAGCTCCAGGCCTCAATGGAACAGTTACTTCGAGAGCAGCCTGGGGAAGAATACAGTGAGGAGGAAGAGTCAGTCCTGAAGAACAGTGACGTGGAGCCAAGTGCCAATGGCCCCGAGCTGCCCGATGAGGATGACAATCCCAGCAGTGCGAGCGCCCTGAACGAGGAGTGGCACTCAGGTGTGTGAGCGGGAAGTGCCTATAAATTATTCAAGTAAAAATTTTCCCGAAAGCTGTAATAAGCTATTTCTGACTTTAAATATAACTCAAGTATACTTCTCTTTTGTTCATTTTTTTCTTTCCAGAGAAATATGCATATCCATGTGTTCCACCTCCTTTTCCTTAAGAAAATGCTGCTTTATCAAATTTTAAAGAGGAACCTTCTTCCCTGGGTACTCTGGGTCCCAGGTGACACTCTTTGGGATAGATTCTCAGTGGGTTTGAGCCCAACAGTGCCAGCTAGGGCCTTGCTGGGGTTCACCAGGGACATGCCCAGCTGTGCATGGGTAACCTACACCATGTCGGGGATCAAACTCAGGGACTTTCGTAGGTAAAGCATGAGCTTTCCCCTTTAAGCTATCTCTCAAAATTAGGAAATGCGTTTACAAGCATTTTGTTTAGTTATTTAGCTTTCGTTTCTTAACTTATTTTTCTAGTAATAAACAACTTAGTTAACTTTATACTTTATGTTTTAGAGTGAGCTTGAATGTATTAGCAGAATTAATACTGAAAGCACTTTTAAAGATTTTGACATTTATTTATTTATTTATTTTTAATTAGTGAAACACCATGAGGTACAGTTGTAGATTTACAAATTTTTGTGCTTGGATTTCGGTCATACCATGATCAAATACCCATCCCTCCACCAGTGCCCATTTTCCACCACCAGGATAATATCCCTCCCCCCACCCCCATCCTCCCCATCCCCCCCTGCCACTGTGGCAGGGCATTGCCTTTTGTTCTCTCTCTCCTTTTGGGTGTTGTGTTCAGCAAAAGAGGCATTGAGTGGCAAACATGTTCAGTCCAGTCTACTTTCAACCTGCATCTGCCCTCCTGGGAGGATCCTCCAAATACCCTCCATTTGGTGCTCCCTTCTCTATCTGAACTGTCCTTTCCCCTAGAATACCCGGCTGGCCTCTAAGCTATGAAGTAATCCTCCTGGTGTTGATCTCAGCTATTCTTGGGTATTAATCTCATATTTTGCTATTTTATATTCCCCAGATGAATCAATCTTTCTATGTCTATCCCTCTCTTTCTGACTCATTTCGCTTAGCATGATACTTTCCATATTGTACCACTTGTATGTAAATTTCATGACTTCATCTTTTCTAACAGCTACATAGTACTCCATTGTGTAGATGTACCAAAGTTTCTTTAACCAGTCATCTGTTCTTGGGCACTCAGGTTTTTTCCAGTTTCTGGCTACTGTAAAGAGTGCTGCAATGAACAAACAAGTGCAGATGTCACTTCGACTACATATTTTTGCCTCTCTGGGATATATTCCCAGGAGTGGTATTGCTAGGTCAAATGGGAGCTCAATTTCTAATTTTTTGAGGAACGTCCATACTGTTTTCCAAAAGGGCTGAACCAGTGGACATTCCCACCAACAGTGAAGGAGTGTCCCTTTCTCGCCACATCTGCGCCAGCAACGGATGTTTTTGTTCTTTTGAATGTGGGCCAGTCTCTGAGGTGTGAGATGGTATCTCATTGTGGTTTTGATCTGCATCTCCCTGATGATTAATGATGTAGAGCATTTTCTCATGTGCTTTTTTGCCATTCAGATTTCTCCTTTGAGAAAGTTTCTGTTCATTTCATTGCCCCATTTTTGGATGGGGTTGGATGTTTTCTTCTTGTGGAGTTCAACCAGTATTTTGTATATCCTGGATATCAACCCATTGTCAGATGTGTATTCGGCGAATATCCTTTCCCATTCTGTAGACTGTCTTTGTATTTTGGTCACTGTTTCTTTGAAGGTGCAGAAGCTTCTTAGTTTAAGATAGTCCCATTGAAAGGATATTCACCGAATACACATCACACATACACACAGCGAAATGAGTCAGAAAGAGAGGGATAGACATAGAAAGATTGCATTCATCGGGGGATATAAAATAACAAAATAGGAGATTAATACCCAAGAATAGCTGAGATCAGCACCAGGAGGATTACTCCATAACTTAGAGGCCAGCCGGGTATCCTAGAGGAAAGGGCAGTTCAGATAGAGAAGAGAGCACCAAATAAAGGGTGTTTGGAGGATCCTCCCAGGACGGGAGATGCATGTCGAAAGTAGACTATGGACTGAACATGTTTGCCGCTCAATGCCTCTTTTGCAGACCACAACACCCAAAAGGAGAGAGAGAACACAGGGGATTGCCCTGCCACAGAGGCAGGGGGGGATGGGGGAATGGGCGTGGGGGGATATTATCCATGGGGGTGGAAAATGGGCACTGGTGGAGGGATGGGTATCTGATCATTGTATAATTGAAACCAAAGCACAAAAAATTGTAAATCTACAACTTTAAAAAAATAAATAAATAAAATAAAGGGAAAAAAAAAAAGATAGTCCCATTTATCTATCTCTGTTTTCACTTACTCAGCCAGTGGCGTGGCATCTTTGAAGATACCATTAGCCTCAATGTCATGGAGGGTTTTGCCAACTTTGTCTTCAATGTACCTTATGGTTTCTGGTCTGATGTTGAGGTCTTTAATCCATTTTGATCTTACCTTTGTACATGGTGTTGGGCAGAGTTCTGAGCCCATTTTTTTGCATGTAGCCATCCAGTGATGCCAGCACAATTTGTTAAAGAGGCTTTCCTTACTCCACTTCACATTTCTTGCACCTTTATCAAAGATTAGATGATCATATGATTGAGGGGAGATATCAGTGTATTCAACTCTGTTCCATTGGTCTGCTGTTCTGCCTTTGTTCCAGTACCATGCTGTTTTGATTATTACCGCTTTGTAGTACAGTTTGAAGTTCGGGAGGTTGATTCCTCCCATTTTCTTTTTCCCAAGAATTGCTTTAGCTCTTCGTGGGGGCTTATTGTTCCATATAAATTTCAAGAGTGTTTGCTCCATTTCTTTGAAGAATGTCATGGGTATCCTTATAGGGATTGCATTGAATTTATACAATGCTTTCGGTAGTATTGCCATTTTGACAATGTTAAGTCTCCCGACCCATGAGCAGGGGATATCTTTCCATTTCCCCATGTCCTCTTTTATTTCCTGAAGTAGCGTTTTGTAGTTTTCTTTGTACAGGTCCTTTACTTCCTTAGTTAAGCTGATTCCTAGGTACTTGATTTTCTGGGGCACAATTGTGAATGGGATTGTTTTTTTCATGTTGCTTTCTTCTCTCTCACTGTTTGCGTATAGGAAAGCCATGGACTTTTGGGTATTGATTTTATAACCTGCAACTTTACTTTACGAGTCTATTGTTTCTAGGAGTTTTTTGGTGGAAGTTATTGGGTTCTCTAAGTAAAGTATCATATCATCTGCGAATAGTGAGAGCTTGATTTCTTCCTTTCCTACCTGAATGCCCTTAATATCTTTTTCCTGCCTAATCGCTATTGCAAGTACTTCCAGTACTATATTGAACAGCAGTGGAGAGAGTGGGCATCCCTGTCTCGTCCCTGATCTTAGAGGGAAGGCTCTCAGTTTTTCCCCATTGAGGATGATGCTTGCTGTAGGCTTGTGGTAGATGGCTTTAATTATGTTGAGGAAGGTCCCCTCTATACCCGTTTTGGCTAGGGTTTTCATCATAAAGGGGTGCTGGATCTTATCAAATGCTTTCTCTGCATCTATTGATATGATCCTATGCTTTTTATCTTTTCTTTTGTTGATATGGTGGATTATGTTGATTGATTTTCGAATGTTAAACCATCCTTGCATCCCTGGGATGAATCCTACTTGGTCATGGTGTATGATCTTTTTGATGAGTAGTTGGATTCTATTTGCTAGTAGTTTGTTGAGGATCTTTGCATCTGTGTTCATCAGGGATATCGGCCTGTAATTCTCTTTCTTTGTGGTATCTCTGTCTGCTTTTGGTATCAGTGTGATATTTGCTTCGTAGAAACTGTTCGGAAGTGTTTTTGATATTTCAATTTCGTGGAAAAGCTTAAAGAGCATCGGGAGTAAGTCCTCTTTAAAGATTTGGAAGAATTCACTAGTGAATCCATCCGGGCCAGGACTTTTGTGCTTGGGGAGACTTTTTATTACCATTTCAATTTCCTTGATGGTGATAGGTCTGTTCAGGTATTCCAGGTCTTCTTGGTTCAGCCTTGGGAGTCTGTAGGAGTCTAGGAATTTATCCATTTCCTCGAGGTTTTGATGTTCCGTGGCATAAAGCTTTTCAAAGCATTCCCTGAGGATCCTTTGAATTTCTGTAGTTTCTGTTGTAATGACCCCCTTTTCATTTCTGATTCGGTTTATTAGGGTTTTCTCTCTCCCTTTCTTTGTGAGTTTTGCTAGGGGCTTATCGATCTTGTTAATTTTCTCAAAGAACCACCTCTTGGTTTCATTGATCTTTGGGATTGTTTTTTGGGTTTCCATCTCGTTAATCTCTGCTCTGAGTTTTATTATTTCCTTCCTCCTGTTAGGGTTGTGCTCCTTTTGTTGGTCCTTCTCCAAGTTCTTAAGCTGTGAGGTTAGTTTATTTATGTGGGCCTGCTCCTCCTTTCTGAGGAATGCTTGCAGAGCTATTAACTTTCCTCTTAAGACTGCTTTTGCTGTGTCCCATAAGTTTTGGTAACTCGTGTCCTCATTTTCATTCGTTTCTAGGAATCTTTTGATTTCCTCTTTAATTTCCTGTCTAAGCCACTCGTTGTTTAATAGCGCACTCTTTAATTTCCTGGTGTTTGATTTCATTTTCTTTTTGTGTGTGTGATTTACTTCTAATTTCAGCGCATTATTGTCTGAGAAGATTGTTGATATAATCTCTATCTTCTTAATTTTATGGAGGCATGTTTTGTGGCTCAGCATGTGGTCTATCTTGGAGAATGTTCCATGTACGCTTGAGAAGAATGTGTATTCAGCTTTTTGTGAATGAAGTGTCCTGTATATATCTACTAAGTCCCTTTCTTCCATTGTTTCCCTCAGATGAAGTATGTCCTTGCTAAGCTTGAGTCAGGTTGATCTATTCAGAGGAGACAAAGTGGTGTTGAAGTCTCCCACTAGTATTGTGTTGCTATTGATGTCTTTTTCCAAATCTATGAGTAGTTGTTTTAAGTACTTTGCTGGTCTCTCATTAGGTGCATATACATTTATTATTGTAAGTTCTTCCTGTTGTACAGATCCTTTGATCACTAGAAAATGGCCTTCACTGTCTCTTATCACCTTCTTCACTCTGAAATTGATGTGGTCTGATATTAGGATGGCTACCCCAGCTTTTTTCTGGGAGATGTTTGCCTGTAGGATTGTTTTCCAGCCTTTGACTCTGAGTCTGTGTTTGCTTTGACTATTGAAATGTGTTTCTTGCAGGCAGCAGAATGTTGGGTTCAATTTTTGAATCCATCCTGCCACTCTATGTCTTTTAATTGGTGCGTTTAGTCCATTGACATTGAGAGAGATTATTGTTATGGGATTTTGTCCCATTGTTCTGTTGAAATTTGGTGTTTTGAGGGGCCTGTCTTGCCTTAAAGTAGCCCATTTAGTTGTACTTGTAACCATGGTTTTGAGTCTATGAAGTTCCTGAGCTGTTGTTTGTCTGTGAAACTGTGTGTTGTTCCTTCTATTATGAATGAGAGTCTCACTGGGTAAAGTATTTTTGGAGAGGCATTTATTTCATTGAGTTTTTTCACTATGTCCCACCACTGTTTTCGGGCCCTGAGTGTTTCATCAGAAAAATCAGTTATGAATTTTAAGGATGCTCCTTTGTAAGAGATTTCTTTCTTCGATCTTGCTGCTTTCAGAATTTTGTCTCTGTCTAAGGTTTTGGTTATTTTGATCAGGATGTGTCTTGGGGTATTTTTATTCGGATTTCTTCTAGCTGGTACCCTTCGGGCCTCCTGGATGTGGTCACAAGTTTTCTTCAGCTCTGGAAACGTTGTAGCAATGATGTCTTTGACAGTTTCTTCTTCATCAAGGTTTTCTTCCTGACCCTCTGGGACTCCAATAATTCTTATGTTACCCCTCTTGGCTTCGTCACGATCTTCTCTTGCCATCTGTTCTCGAACTGTGAGTCTCTTTTCCATTTTCTGCTCTTTTCTGGCAAGTCTCTGAACTTGATCTTCGAGCTCACTGATTCTGTTCTCAGCCGCTGTTACTCTGCTGCTGAGGCCTTCCACTGAGGTTTTCAATTCGGCTACCAGGTTTTTCAGGTCCGACATTTCTGATTGCATTTTCCTCATTTCTGCCTTCAAATCCTCTTGTCTTTTATTGGCATTTGCTTTCCATTGTTTCTTTTAGTTCCCTAAGCATCCTAAGTAGCTCCCTTCTGAATTCCTTGTCAGAGAGGTTGTCTAACGCTATAGTACTGTTGGTGTCTTCTGGGCTCTCCTCGTGAATAAGAAAGTTTGGTGGGCTTTTGCGTTGCTTTACCATTGTGACCAGTGTGGTTTGGTCCTTCACAGTCACTGTTACTATTCTGGTTGAGTGAGGAGAGACTGCCAGGAGCCGTTCAGCTTTGTTGCTGCTAGTTGGGCCTCTTCTACCTTTCTGAGTCTGACCTTCTTCTCAATCAGGCGTTATTCTTTGTTTTATAGCTGACATTGAGTGAAACTTTTGGAGTAGGTGCTATTTACTACTGAGCTTGTACAGCTATTTTCAAACAGGAATTTTGTTGGAAATGGAGTAGGCGAGTGTGGGATGTTGTTGAATTGTAGTAGAAGAGGTGAGAAATTTTTGGTTGGTATTAGGTGACAAGTTGATGAAAAGGATGAAAGGATGAAGGTCCAAATTGCTTGGGGTGAGTGATATACCTGCGGCCACGTAAGCGGCGGCCCGCCAGGAAGGAGGCCACGCCCAGTTTTAGGAGGCCACGCACCCTTCTCCAAGGCCACGCCCCTAGCCAGTCCCAGGCCACTCCTTCCCAGGGTCCTGGATGGGGGGGGGCATGGGGCGGGCCTCGGCTGGGCTCCTCCAACCCACCTGGATGTGGGAGCCCGGTGGACTGCTGGGCGGCCGGTCCCAGAGCTGGATGCGCGGCGGGGTCCGCCTGTCCTCAGGCGGGGATCGGTGGGCGGGCAGCGCGTCTGGGGTCAGGGGCGGGCCTGGCTGGGCTCCTCCAACCCACCTGGATGGGGGGGCGCCGGTGGACTGCTGGGCGGCCGGTCCCATAGCTGGACTGCGCGGCGTGGTCCGTGCTGTCCTCAGGCGGGGCGGCACTTTTTATTCATAGTGTCACCCCAAGTTTCATTTATACCTCTAAGTTGTATATTTAAAGAATCATATCCTATCTGGACAGAGGACCTAATGTGAAAAGAAATGATTTCTCAGTGATGCTGTTTATGAGAAATTTTGAATATATTTTAGAGATGTACATGACAGTAACAACAAGTCTCATAATGGAGACGTTACTGGGCCTGCTCGAGCAAATCGATGAACAACAGGAGGACAGTGCTACAGTGCTACATGAAATTAAATGTATTGAACATATAATAATTTATAGGTAATTTTCCTAAAGTTTTTTGGTTTCTATCTTAGGTCTTCTGCTGTCTACATTTGTTTACTTTTTATTACCAGTGCTTTAAAAAAAATAGAAGTTATGTGTAGTTGTATTTATGGTTCCTTTTTATATTTCTTATTAACTTGAATGACATCTCAGGGGTCTTTTCTGTTTGTTTGTTTTGCTTTGTTTTGTGTGGACCACATCCAGTGCTGCCCAAAGCTTATTCCTGACTCTGTGCTCCGGGATCATCCCATATGCAATGCTAGGGATTGAACCAGGGTTGACTGTGACGAAGGCAAGAGCCTTATCTCCCAACTGCTCAAGGAAATTTTTATATAACCTCATTTACTGTCTATAAAAGAAAAGAGTCCTAAGAGAGCAGACTTATTATGACATTTATGTGTGTTGTAATAAGCTATATAAATGCCAATATTCTAACATTAACAAAATTTAACATTAAAAGTACAAGTAATCTATTCACTTGTCATAAACTTCAGTCTACTAAGCTAAGAATTTCTTTATTCTGTTTTAATTTTAACCACAAAATGTCCTCTCTTTTTTTTTTTTTAGATAACAGTGATGATGAAATTACTAGTGAATGTGAATATGATAGTGTATTTAACCATTTAGAGGAACTGCGACTTCACCTGGAACAGGAAATAGGCTTTGAAAAGTTCTTTGAGGTTTATGAGAAAATGAAAGTAAGTGAAATATCAATTAAACCTTTTTATTTTGGGATGTGCTCTATTTGAGTTGCTAATGAAATGGCAAAGATCTTTATTGGTATATATAGATAAATATTTATATATATCTATATATAATAATAGCTGAAGTCCCAGTTTAATACTCAAATGTTAATTTATACTTGGAAATTACATAGGCTATTCATGAAGATGAAGATGAAAATATTGAGACTTGTTCAACAATAATTCAGAATATTTTGGGAAACGAACATAAGCATCTTTATTCCAAGATTCTTCATTTAGTTATGGCAGATGGAGCCTATCAAGAAGGTATGACTTCCTCCTGTCTTTGTTTTAAATAAATGTGTGAAAAACAGGAAGGCAAATGTAAATCGGTTAACTTACATCATATGCAGTTGGTGAAATGAGTACTGAAACCATATCTAATACTTTTAAGCAGTTAAAATTGTAACTGTCCTATTTTATTCTGTCATATGATTTTGTTTATATATTTTTTTAAAGCCCATCTTAGACAACTTGGGAAATAAGAATAATTTCTTATCAAGAAAGTAATACTAAACTTTCAGACACATAATGCATCATCAGTGTGGAAAACCTTTCCAAAATAACACCAAATTTAATCTCTCCATAGAGAGAGAAGAATTCAGCTGTAATGAATTGAATATAAACCATTTTTGTATTTGGAAAATATTTACCCAGGGAAGTCACTGGAAATATGCTAGAATATTATTAAAACCTAAGACTAAAATGAAAGTTTCCATTTCCATTTTATCAGATTTAACCAGGAGCACTTAACATAGAATCACGTTACGGCTCTTGACTTTGTAACAAGCAAGTCAGATGACATTAAACGATTTGTTTTAAAGGTTTTAATTTCCTTGACCGTATAAAGTAAAAGGATCCTCTGTCTTATGTACTATAACTGGTTTTCAAAGTATTTATTGAGTGCTGGCATCTGACAGCTTTTGTCCTGGCATCTCACTGCTACAGACAATAAATGATATGTGTGTCTTTGCTTACATGTTGTTTACAGTTTCTATGGAAAATGAGGTCAAGTGTTCATTCTAAGTTATTTACATAAAGTGCAGCACAACTGGAAAGTGGGCAATAGAATTTTGAGAGAAATGTGTAGAGAATAACTTGTGGGGAAAACAAAATGAATTAACAGTGTGTTTGGTTTTGGGGAGGCCTTTCTTGGTTTGTTTTGTTGGTTTGTTTTTGGGCCACACCTGACAATTCTCAGGGATTACTCCTGACTTTGCACTCAGGTATCACTCCTAATGGTGCTCAGGGGACCATATAGGATGCCGGGTATCGGACCCAGTTGGCCATCTGTAAGGCAAGTGCCCTACCTGCTGTACAATCTCTCTGGCCCCATGAATAATGTGTTTTAAGAGTATCAAATTGAACTTATTGGAAACTTCTTGTTTTTAATTAATGTTTATAACTAACTGTTTAAAGTAAAAAACGTGTAGGATGAAGACAGGCTTTGTTGTGCCTACGACTTTCAATGCTGTGTTGAGTAAAAGTAAAGTAAAGGCCCTCCCGTTGATCGTCGATTTGCTCGAGCGGGCCCAGTAACGTCTCCATTGGAGACTTCGTTGTTACTGTGTCTGGCATATATCGAATACTCTCGGTAGCTTGCCGGGCTCTCCGAGAGTAGTATGGGTGAAAACAAACATTCTTGTCTTGTACCTTACATTAAAGGAAAGATTTTTCACTTTTCCTCATTAATTATGATATTACTGGGGAGGCAGAGAATTTAGTACAGCAGGGAAGGTGCTTGCTCTTCACACAGCCTACCCGGGTTCAATCCCCGGCATCCACTATGGCCCCCTGAGCACCAGCAGGACTAATTCCTGATCACTGGGTGTAGCCCAAAACCACTGCCCCTCTGCAAAAAAAGAGATGATATTCACTGTGAGTTTATTGTGTGTGATCTTTATAGTACTGAGGTAAGTTCCTTTAGTTCCCATTTTGCTGATGGTTTTTAAATGAGCGTTGAATCTTTTTTTTTTTCAATTTTTGTTTTTTAATTGAGTCACATGGGTGTTGAATCTTGTCAGATTTCTTTCTCTGTACCTGTGGAGATGATCATTTTTTAATCCTTTTATTCATGTGTTGATTTTCTAGTAATGAACAATTCTTGTATCCCATTTGATCTTGATGTATGATGTGTTTAATGTATGGAATTCAGTTTGCTAGCATTTTCTTGATGATCTTTGCATCTGTGTGCATCACGGTTATTCATCTGAAATATTCTTTTTGAGTGATTTCCCTGCTGGTTCTCGGTCAAGGCCAAGCTAGCCTCATGGAATCTGCTCAGGAGTATTCCCGAGTCTTCTGTTTTATGGAAGAGCTTGAGAATATGGGTCTTCAATGTTTAAAAGGGCTTCCTTGTGGGCCCATCTGGCTGGGGACATTTGTCCTAAGGCAGATTTTTGCTAACAGTCTCAGCTTCCTTGAGAACAATAGGTCTCTTCAGGTCTATACTTTTTTCCTGGGTTGTGAGAGGTTGTAAGACTAGAAACGTAATGTACTCCGCTGGCAGCCAATGGGATGGAAGCAAGCCCAGGATTCCCTCTGGGTGGGAGTGGGTTGTAAGCCTCATTTTCTTAATTCATGAACAAATTAAGAACATTTTTGAAGAATTCATTTCTAGAATATGTGTCAGGAAAATCTGATCGCTTGTACCAGTTGTGAACAGTAGTTGAGGGTTTAAAATGTTGGGGCCGCAGCGATAGTACGGGCATTTTCCTTGCACTTGGCTGACCTGAGTTTGATTCCCGACATCCCACATGGTCCTCCAGCACCATCAGGAATAATTCCCAAGTGCAGAGCCAGGAGCAACCCCTGAGCATTGCCAGGTGTGGCCCCAAAAATTAATAAATAAAATAAAATAATGCTTGGATATTACAGTGTACACCCAGGTTGTAAATGTCAACACTGTTGTAAACACATTACCTTAACTATAATCAGTTGAAAAATAAATTGAATTATGCTTAATCTTAGCAATATAAATATAAAGTCTGTTTACATTTCATCTTTTTCTTCAAAAGGTTTGAGAGATTGCATGTTTTTAATGTACATAGCCTAAGAAAATTACATTACTAACAGGTGTTTGGGAGTCAGCCTATCAGGCAAAAACAAGTACAGGCAATAAAAACTTAAGCCAAGAAGGAAATAAGAATTCAGAGTTCATGTCCATAGTACATTTTCTGAAAATAGGTCACAAGTTTGGTGCTGATCTTTGTAGCAAAGCTGGAAACCTAATTAATTACATGAGTCACATGGGTCATAAAACCAAACATGTCAATTACTCAGAGGATAGATATTTTTGGTATTGAAAAAAAAGAGCATATTTCCCCCATGATATTTAAAATGAGGACTTTTATCACACAGTATTGCTTCAGAGTTTAATAATGTATGGATTTCTTTCAAGAAATCTTTTTTTTTAGACTCAATTTAAGGGTCCATAAACTTCAGTGTAAAACTGAAAATCTTTTTTTCTCTTAAGATAGAATTATTACAATAATCATCTTCTAAATACTGTTATTATTATCACATGAAAATAAGAAATTGTAACATTCTCTACAGCTTGTGGATTCCTGGTGTAGTTCTGCTCTTTGACCTCATTTTATTTAAAAAAAAAAATGCTGTAACAATGAAAAATAACCTGAATAATTTTATAGCATTAGGATTTCCCGGGGCCCTATCTCAAAAAATTGCAGTGTTTCTCAGCCTTTTCCCCATCATGGCCTCAGTCAGTGACCCACCACCCTCACCCACCCATCCTATTGCTTGTCTTCCCTAGTCTTGTGCCATGACCCCCACTTATAGAATTTGAGGGTGGGTCTATAAGGCCCTTTCACCTCTGTTTGAGAGACACTCTTGTAAATGAATGCAGAATGGTTGAATTTAGGTAGATCTGTGGAGACTATCAAAGCAGTTCCATTTATATTTGGCTATTCAATATGCAGTTTCCTCAGGTAACTTTGTAATACAAGTTTTCATAAGAAATAGTAACTTGGGGTTCTGTTCTTTGGACAGAGAACTTGGGATTTAACTTTGATTGACAGGTATCTGGAGTCTTCAATTTTGTGTTGCCCCATTTAAGTGGAGAACTATAACAGTCAGTTTAGGATTGACACTCTCTTTCATCAGCACAGTGGTACAGTGTACACAAAACTTTTCTTTCCAAGGCACCTAGAACCCGGCTAGGGTAATACACTATTCAAGTCAGCATGTGAGATTTTCTGTACTACACAAATGAAAAGGGAATCAGGACCTTGAAGTTACAAATCACAAAATCTGCAATAATAATTCCTGTAATCAGAAAACAATGCTAGGCACTGAAAACTAAATGCCTAGCCTGGCAATTTACTTTAAAAATCTTCAGAAGTCCCTAAAACATTAGTTTATTAAAACATGGTTTTAAAATTATATTGGATTTTCTAAATAAGTTGACCTTCTATTTTGATAGTGTTGGTGTAGAGTTAATGTTAGACAATGACTTGTTTTATATTAGAGTAACTGTCCTCTTATCAGAAATAATTATATCCTGTATATAGGTGTCCAAAAAACCACTGTTTTGATTGCATCTAGGAGAGATTAATAAAGCCATGTCATCTGCCTGTGGTGATCCTCTACTTTCATAATCTATGTTGAGGGAAGGTTGGGAATGGTTATGAAAGAAAGGAATAAATTATATCTAGTTACCCCAACCAGTCATTAAGGTACAAGCTTAAAAAAAAGAAGAAAGTGTAACATACATTTATGTTTGATTTAACTGGAACTTACCTTAGTTCTTAAAAGACAGCTTTTAGCTCTTCCCCTCCTCACAGGTCTGGTTGCTGCAGCTGTTGGAGTTAACAGCCTAATGTCGCTTAGTCCATATCTTGTACACACACACCCCTCACTGGCTGTGGTATTCTCAGAGTTGATCGTAGCAGTGGAGCTCCCAGTCAGCTTTGGTACACACACAGACACACACACACAGACACACACACACACACACACACACACACCCTCACTGGCTGTGGTATTCTCAGAGTTGATCGTAGCAGTGGAGCTCCCAGTCAGCTTTGGTACACACACACACACACACACACACTCCTCACTGGCTGTGGTATTCTCAGAGTTGATCATAGCAGTGGAGCTCCCAGTCAGCTTTGGTACACACACACACACACACACACACACACACACACACACACTCCTCACTGGCTGTGGTATTCTCAGAGTTGATCATAGCAGTGGAGCTCCCAGTCAGCTTTGGTACACACACACACACACACACACACACACACACCCACCCTCACTGGCTGTGGTATTCTCAGAGTTGATCGTAGCAGTGGAGCTCCCAGTCAGCTTTGGTACACACACACACACACACACACACACACACACACACACTGCTCACTGGCTGTGGTATTCTCAGAGTTGATCGTAGCAGTGGAGCTCCCAGTCAGCTTTGGTACACACACACACACACACATACACACTCCTCACTGGCTGTGGTATTCTCAGAGTTGATCGTAGCAGTGGAGCTCCCAGTCAGCTTTGGTGTTTTCCAGGGCCCACACTCTTTTTTTTAAAATTTTTATTAGCGAAACACCATGAGGTACAGTTGTAGATTTACAAATTTTTGTGCTTGGGTTTCGATTATACAATGATCAAATACCCACCCCTTCACCAGTGCCCATTTTCCACCACCATGGATCCCAGTATCCCTCCCACATCCATCCCCCCCATCCCACCCTGCCTCTGTGGCAGGGCATTCCCTTTTGTTCTCTCTCTCCTTTTGGGTGTTGTAGTCTGCAAAAGAGGCATTGAGTGGCAGTCATATTCAGTCCATAGTCTACTTTCAACATGCATCTCCCCTCCTGGGAGGATCCTCCAAACACCCTTTATTTGGTGCTCCCTTCTCTATCTGAGCTGCCCTTTCCCCTAGATTGCCCGGCTGGCCTCTAAGCTATGGAGTAATCCTCCTGGTATTGATCTCGGCTATTCTTGGGTATTAATCTCCCATTTTGTTACTTTATATCCCCCAGATGAATGCAATCTTTCTATGTCTATCCCTCTCTTTCTGACTCATTTCGCTTAGCATGATACTTTCCATGTAGTACCACTTGTATGTAAATTTCATGACTTCATCTTTTCTAACAGCTACATAATACTCCATTGTGTAGATGTACCAAAGTTTCTTTAACCAGTCATCTGTTCTTGGGCACTAAGGTTTTTTCCAGATTCTGGCTATTGTAAAGAGTGCTGCACTGAACAAACAAGTGCAGATGTCACTTCGACTATACATTTTTGCCTCTCTGGGATATATTCCCAGGAGTGGTATTGCTGGGTCAAATGGGAGCTCAATTTCTAATTTTTTGAGAATCGTCCATACTGTTTTCCAAAAGGGCTGAACCAGTCGGCATTCCCACCAACAGTGAAGGAGTGTCCCTTTCTCGCCACATTCGCGCCAGTATCAGTTGCTTTTGTTTTTTTGGATGTGGGCCAGTCTCTGAGGTGTGAGATGGTATCTCATTGTGGTTTTGATCTGCATCTCCCTGATGATTAATGATGTAGAGCATTTTCTCATGTGCTTTTTTGCCATTCGGATTTCTTCTTTGAGAAAGTTTCTGTTCATTTCATTGCCCCATTTTTTGATGGGGTTGGATGTTTTCTTCTTGTGGAGTTCAACCAGTATTTTGTATTTCCTTGATATCAACCCCTTGTCAGATGTGTATTCGGTGAATATCCTTTCCCATTCTGTAGACTGTCTTTGTATTTTGGTCACTATTTCTTTTGAGTTGCATGCTTCTTAGTTTAAGATGGTCCCATTTATCTATCTCTGTTTTCACTTGCTCGGCCAGTGGCGTGACATCTTTGAAGATACCATTAGCTTCAATGTCATGGAGGGTTTTTCCAACTCTGTCTTCAATGTACCTATGGTTTCTGGTCTGATGTTGAGGTCTTTAATCCATTTTGGTCTTAGTTTTGTACATGGTGTTAGGCAGAGTGAGGCATACTTGTTAGTCAGGCTGTTCAGAGTGACTGCCGTGGTACTCACACACGTGCTTGCCATGGCGCACACTTTCTGGCCAAGACATTGCAGATGTTTTTAGTGCAAATTGCCTCTCTAGTGCTCACACACAGCTGTCATGGTGCAGCTGAAATACCTTGCAGTACCAAGGATCACAGCTGGGAGAGCTGCCTGGAACACTTTTAGTGCATGTGGTGACACTGCACATTTGAACTTAGGCATTCTGGGCTGTTGCACTGCTCCTCTGGAGCCAAGCTTGTAGCTTTCTCAAGAAGAAAACACATGCCTTTCCTCCGCAATTAATTTAGAGTATATTATGCTGTAAATATATAATGAAATTACATATGGCAGTTAAAATGAACTAAATTTTCCTCTGTCACTTCATGTGAGATGCATAAATATGAAGTATTGAATAGTATCTGATGCCATTTATATAACATTTTCAAGCAATTTTATTTAGTAATTTATCCATATAATAAAAATGAAAAACCATGGGAGAGAGAGATAATCATTAATTTTAGGATACTGCTTATGCCTCTAGGGAAGAAGAGAAAATATTATGGGAACAATATCATACTCTGTGACTGCACTAAGTGTTCTCTTAATAAATATTTGAAGTCAGTATGGTCAAAGTTAACTTTCATCAATTCTAAGCATTACACACTTAATTTGTTTGCAGTTGTTACTTAATTCTCTGTAATTTATTATTTGAAATTCCAGTTGTAAAGATGAGTAAATTGATGGTACAAAATGAAAAGTATAGTAAGAGGAACAATAAAATGTATCTTTCATAAAGCAGTGATTCAGCCCTATTGTTAGAAATAAGATATGATAGGAGTATGTGTTATTGTAACAATTGCATTTTAAACCACATTAAAGCTCTTTTCCTGTAGCACAGAAAAAGAATAAACTGTTTTTTTTTTTTTGCTAAGTAGATTGGATTTGATTTGAAATAAATAAATATTTTTTTCTTTTTTTATAGATAATGATGAGTGATCGTCACAGCAGTCCTTAATCATCAACTCTGTGAAAGCATTTAAATTTGGCTTATCAGAATAACAAGACCAATAGGAACTGTAAAATTTTTAATAAATGAAATACAAGATATAAGGTGGGCATGCCAATTGCATGGAAGAAAGTGAGAAAATGCTATTTTTCAGTTGAGATCTAGTAATGCGCACTTTGCTTGCTGAGTTCTATTGGTAGTCACCTTTTATAACATGTATACTTTATCCAACCAAAGCATAAGGAGATATTGACCTGGAACTGGACTTAATGTTCCTGAAAACCTACCATGCTGTGGGTAACTTGGACTTTTACCAACGTCTTTAGGTTGAAAGAATTATCTGTGTTGTAAAAAACCTGCCTGTATTTATTTAAGTTTTTAAGCATGACCTTTTCTCCTTTCTGTTTATGTCCATTGGCAGCAATTCTGCAAAAAGTAACCTCATTGAGGGCGCTGTTAAGTTTTCACATTTTAAAATGGACAATTTAGCCTTAAACTTTACATTCTCAGTTATTTTTCAACTATTGTGTTTTTTGAACAACTTGGGTGAAAGAAATTGTTGAAAATTTGATTATGAAGGATAGCAATATTGTATTCCTGATATTAAAAAATGTTGATAATTACAGCTATTTTTCTTTAAGGACCAAAACCAGATATATATCTAGAAATTAGTCTGAGAATTTTAACACTGTGTCTGTAACATAAAGTTGCCCTTTTTGTTGTTACTTACTCTCATGCATCTGTCTCAAGGACAGCAGGAGGTTAAAAAGAGGGAAGAAAGTGTGTTTATTTTTAACACTAAAGCAGTTTGGTAACTAGTATCTCAAGGTGGGAATATTTTCCTCTTTTACTTATTTCTACTATATGAGAGAATTAAGTCAGTCAATATGATAATGATCTGTTACCGTATGTCAAGTATTATATGGGTTCATGAAAGATGTCTAAAGTTCAGGTGATTTGAGTTAAAAAAAAATCCTAATTTTTGAAACAGTATAAAACAACCTGATTGGCCTAATCTATAAACTTAACAATAAAATCTTACTGCACCATCAGTACTATGTTGAATTTATCATGTGTTATTTATAACATACAAAATTAAACAGTTGCTTATTATGTTTGGTTTTTATATTCCTATTAACATTTAATTATATATCTGTCGTATCCTATTACTTATACTTTACTAGTTCATTCTCAATAGAATACCTTTAAATAGAGCTGGGAATAATTCTTCTTACCAGATAGTTTATTTTTAACTTTTGGGGTCAGACCCAGAGATGCTCAGGGCTTACTCCTGGCTCTGCACTCAGGAATTACTCTTGGCAGTGCTAGGGGACCATATGGGATGCTGGGGATAGAACCCAGGTTGGCCGTGTGCAAGGCAAACACCCCCCTCACTCCAACTTAATATGTTCTTGTTTAATAGAAGAATATTTGATTTCTCATTCTCTACAAAGCTGAATGAATGTTTTGGGAAGGGTTGTTTACAATTACTATACTACAAGTAGTAAGAAAGCAATTTAGTAGAAATAATAAGGAGAGTTTTATAGTCATGCTTTAAAAGTCTTTTTGTTTACGAGAATATGGACAGAGTCAGATTTGTGCCCTCTTCAGTCCTATGAATGGTTATGGAGCTTTATTATGGAAAGAGTTCCTGTTGGTGTAGGTGAAGCCTAATATTTTTCTCTCGGGTCTGTTAGGGTGTTAGAGTTGAAGCATTTATAGAATCATAGGGTATTAGAGCTAGAAAGGTTCTCATATACGCACTCACGTACATATTTATATTTTAAAAACCAAATAAAATTCATAACAATAACCACGGGGCCCAAGCGGTTGTACAATGGTTGAGGCATTTGCCTTGCATGCAGCAAATCCTGGTTCATTCCTAGCATTTCTTCTGGTCCCCCAGGCATCACCAGGAGTAAGTAGTTCCTGAGTGCAGAGCCAGGAGGTAGCCCCTGAGCACTGCTGGGTATGACCCAATCCCCCCAGAAATGTTTTTAGTAAATCAATTTTTAAAATATACAGTAACCAAGATTATAAAACTTGGGTGTGCTTGACAAAAACTTCTTCCAAATGATAAAAAAAAAGAAAACTGGAAGAAAGTATCCATAATAGAATAGATAGCAAGTGAAAGTGTAGAAGAGAAGGTCTAAGATTTAGTGAGAAGTTCTAATGTGTGTGTGATTAGAGCACAACAGACTAAAAGCAAGAACAGAATACAGTTATTTGGAAAAATAAAGGTTGAGAATTTTTCAGAACTCTTTGAAGATACCAGCCCACAGATGAAAGAAGCCCAGTGAATTTCAGGGAGGCTAAAATAAAAGAAATGGTTGCCTATTATCTTCAGCATGAATCTAGAAAATCATAGCCAAAAACAAAATAAACTTTTACTAAGATAAGAAAAGATATGTATTCAAAGGAATGTCAAAGACTGGCAGTTGGCTTTTCCACAGTAGTTATGAATGGTATTCAGTAGACAGAAATGAAACAATTGTCATTCGAGAGTTATATCGCAAATATAATAAATATATTTTAACTCCCACCCTGGTCTTGCCAAAATAAAGTAGATATTCTACCTTAACTGCTCAAACACTGGCTAACAGTTATGAATTACTGCTTTCCCAGACAACAGAGAGCCATAGAAGTAAGAAAAACTAGGTAAGTCTCATCACTGCCCAAGTTTACAGCACATCCATAGCATGGTGACCAGAGGACCAGAGTGAAGTCCGGATTCTTCCTAAACTGAGACTGAGGAGGAAGTTAGAAGGTTAAGCATCTAGCACTTGGGGGGCAGAGAGGAGAGATTGGCACCTTGAAGAGAACATGTACTCTAGAGAGCTGTAGAATTCATCTTTTGTCTTCGGCTAATTACTGAGCATTCCTGAAGATGAGGAAACTGTCTTAAGCTAGAGAAAGCCACCAGAAAGAAGTTGGAATAATTCCTGCATATTATATGGGGCCAATAGCACTTTGTATTTCCATCAGCCTGAGGCGTCACCTGGGGAACAGGGTAAAGAAAGATGCTTCATTTTTCACTGGACAGCATTCTCTTCAGATAAAGACTATCACAGTTCACAGTCTTGCCTACCAATTTAAAAGAAGACCTTGAGGGGCCAGAGTGATAGTACAATGGGTAGGGGTTTGCCTTGCCTACAGCCGACCTGAGTTCAGTCCCCAGCATCCCATATGATACTCCAAGCACTGCCAGGAGTAATTCCTGAGCATCACTGAGTGTGACCCCAAAAGGAAAAAAAAATTAAAATGTTCCAGAGTTTTGAAGAAAAAAACTTTGGAAGGATAATACCTTTTATTCTTAACTCAAAAGCATTTAAAGAAATCCCCAAAAAATGTTAGCACTCAAAAAAGATTTAAAATATTAAAAAAAATTATCAGGCATGCTAAGAAAAAGGAAAATAAATTACACAGGTAATATCACTGTCACTGTCCTCCCGTTGTTCATCGATTTGCTCGAGCGGGCCCAGTAACGTCTCCATCATGAGACTTGTTGTTACTGTGTTTGGCATATTGAGTACGTTACGGGGAGCTTGCCAGGCTCTGCCATGCGGGCGAGATACTCTCGGTAGCTTGCCGGGCTCTCCGAGAGGGGCGGAGGAATCGAACTCGGGTCGGCCATGTTGGCTGTGTGCAAGGCAAACGCCCTACCGCTGTGCTATCGCTCCAGTACACAGGTAATATAATAGTCAAAAAATAAGAAACAGCTGTTTATTATATACCGCATTTGAAAGGACATAAGAAATGGCAGTCTTTCTACACACCCTCACACACAAGTATGTATATACCAAGTAGAAATTCTAGGGATGAAAATGTAAGAAATAGGCAACATTCGGAAAATGTTAGTGGGGTTGGGGAGATAGTGGAGATAGTACAGTGGGTGAGGCAGTTACTTACATGCAGCTGACCATCCCATATGGCCTCCCAAGCCAGTGAATTAGACCCCGCTGACACACAAAACCCTTATGCAAAACAGTCTAGACAGTCTTCATGTACAAGGATTATTTACCATGTAAACCATACTGTGGGCCTAAAGATGTGCTAGGAAATTTTAAAGAATTCAAGTCACACTAACTATAACTTCTGTATATTATGGAATTTAAAAATAATACAAAATTAAATAGGGGGACTTAACTGGGGACAGCCCCTTATAAGATAAGCACCTTGCCCCCAGTACTGTATCTCTGGCCCAAGATCTACCAATTTAAAAGTACTAGCTTGTGACTTTGTGCCTTTAAAAATAATTTAGTCTCTTCTGCTCATTCTGAGTTCAGTGTTTTGTCTTATTCTGTGCTGTGTAAGTCACTGAATTGCTGTAAAAGTGAAAGTTCTTAGTTATATATTTTCCTTTAAACTGTGCTTTAGAATTGTTCCCAAAATTTAGATTTGTCACTTAATAATTTTCATTAAGTTAAAAGTATTTTCTGGTTTGTGGTATGATTTCTTACTTGATCCATGGATTACTTACAAAATTTGTTCAATTTCCAAGTAGAGATTTCCTGGAAACTCTATAAAAATGGATTTCCTGCTGGAGAGAGAGCACAAAGGGAGGCAAGGCACATGACTGACCCTGGCCCCATTCCTGAGCACCCCCAGGTGTCGATCAAAAACAAATTTGATGAATCTCAAGAGATAGAAGTAGTGAGAGAATATATGATTACAGATAAGGATCACAGTGCACATAGAAATATGAGCATTCTTTCCTGGTCACTGTATTTGACAACTTAATGAACAGATGTCTTAAAAGGCAAAAATTTGAACTGTATAATGAAAAACCACAGAACAGAGGTCTGAATAACATTATTTTCTCTGCATTCTGGTGCTAGAAGTCCAGGATCAAGTTTTTAGCTAATTTTATTTCTTATAGGGTCTTTGGTTTGCATAGAACAAATTTTCCTCATCTTTGCATGTTTTTTTCCCAGTTTTTGGTCACAATTGAGCAAGTTCTTTAAGTACTCCTCTTGTCCCACCCCTCTGACCCCATTAACCTAGTAACTTCTTTAGAAGCCCTGTTTCTAAGGCAGTCTGAAGGTTAGGATTTTGAAACAATTAGGGGAGGCACAGTGGGTAGGGCGTTTGCTTTGCACGCAGCCAACCTGGGTGACCCGGGTTCGATTCCTCTACCCCTCTCGGAGAGCCCAGCAAGCTACGGAGAGTTTTTCGCCCACATGGAAAAGCCTGGCAAGTGACCCATAATGTATTCAATATGCCAAACACAGTAATAACAAGTCACAATGGAGACGTTACTGGGCCCGCTCGAGCAAATCGATGAAAACAGGAGGACAGTGACAGTAACAGGGGAGGACACAGATATCTAGTCCATAACATTACCAAAGCACATCCAAAAATGCACAGAAACCCTGAATGGTCCTATATCTAATTAGGAAATTTCTTTTAATTTGAAACCTGTCCACAAAGAAGATTTGGAGCCCAGATGGTTTGGGTGATGAATTCTATCAAATATTTCTGGAAGAAATAGTACCAGTCTTATACAAGCTGTTCCTAAATACAGGAAGTTCTGAGAACATTTCCCCACTTATTCTTACCTTGTCTTTTTTTTTAATTTTTATTTTTATAAAGTTGTTCACAATATTTGATTATATTTACTATTCAGAACCAATCTCACCACCATTACTCCTTCCCACCACCATATTTCGAATGTTTCCATCCAAAGCCCCAAACCCTGCCCCCCAAAGCAGAACCGAAATAATTTATTTTGCTAAAAATAGTCCAAAACAGTTTCTTAGAGGAAAGTGTGTGAGGATTGTTGTATTTCACCCAGGAGCCACTAAGCCCTTCTATAAGAGATTAGTAACATATTCTTAAAGATTGAGCCTTGTGTGCTTATATGTATGTGTGTGTGTGTGTATCTGTATAAATGTATTTCCCCCTAAAATTGGTTGCTGTGCTACTCTTGATATATCAGTGGTGTAAAGTATGAAATGTCAAGGAATAGATTCAGTCATGGGTGGAACCTGTCCGAGTGTGTGGAGAGCAGCCATGAGCATGGTGATGGTTGAGTTCTGAAAG